TAAAAGCGCTGGAGACGCCTCTGCCATATAGTCTGCAGCACGATGATCCGAATTCTGAAGCCCAGTGGCGGCGTCAGGCAATCTTCTCAGGGGGTGAGATAGTTTGAGAGTTAATCACAAGGCGGCAGCACTTGGCTCAGCAGAAGTCTAGTTGGAGGTTTTGTCACAAGGTGGCAGCACTAACCTAGGCGGAAGGGTAGTTGAATGCCTGGGCACGAGATGGCAGTACTAGGAGCTTCAGAGGAGGCATGGTTGGAGCGCTGGCCGCCGATGTATCAGGTGGAAGCACCTCAGAGAAAGACTTGTTAACCGTCTTGTTAACCTTCCAGGGTGGGGGGGGGGCATTTGTTGCCCCCTTTTTTCGATATTTCTCCAGAATCGCTGAGCCGATCGTCACCTAACTTTCAGTACCTACCTACGTCCTACCCTCCCGTGAATAGCTATTGCACATTGTGAACAATTTTTTCCGAAGGCTATGATATGTTGGCCGCTAACGACGTCAGAGTGACGTCATTTCTGCCATTTTCGACCCAAAAAAAGGTTTCGCGGGAAGAGCTGTCAGGCCTACAGCTTTAGAGCTACAGAAAAATGTTTCAGACATAAATGGTGTAGAATTAAAAGGCTACAAAACTGTCATCTCGGATTTTTGAAAATTTTTGGATTTTGACCCTAAAAAATTAAAAAATAGATTTTTTGAACATAAAAGCCAAAAATCCAATTTTTTTAATTTAGAAAAAAACGGAACATACGTGATAGTCCCTAGCGCCTTCTATCTAATTAAATACCGAATTTGAGATCGATACCTCTTTTTTGCCAAGTTATAGCGAACAAAAAAACTTCAAAATTGATGACGTCAAATTTTCAAACTCAATTTTTAGCAATTCTAGACCTCGTAGCGAAACACAAAGACCACCATTAGACTCCCCGTGACGAGCTGCATCGAATCAATACCCATTTTATGCAAAACTATCAACTTTGAAATTTGACCTTTTTTTACCTGACCGTGACCTGACCTCCAGCAGAAAGTGACCTAAAACGTACCTGATAGTCTTAAAACCAACACCATTGAGTTGGAAATGAAAAATTGGCCATAAAACATGCATCGCACAACCTTAGTAAAGTTGAGTTCATGTGACCCTTGGTGACCTGACCAGTGACCTGACCTGGTATGACCAGTGTCTTCTAATAGCAACATATGTACTAGACAACTGACGCCCTATCGCTGATTTTCGACGAAATGCGTTTTACTCGGTGTTATAGCGCTTTCCCTAGAAGGCCCGTGAACGGGGAAACATTTTATCTTTGACCTGCCCTGTGACGTCATTGGTGACTTCGAGGTCAATGAAACTTGGTCTCCCTCGACAAATTTGACAGTGCTATCGAACACTGTTTAAATTTTCGAATCCGTCCAGTAGTTTCGGAGATACGGGGGGGGGCAAAAAATCCCCCCCCCATCCACCGCGCGGAAGGTGGCCGGGAACCGCCTGCCAGGTTAAAGGTCAGCATTGCAAACGTGACGCATCTAACATTGCAAGGAGTGCATCAAATCACGATTCTGTGTGCTTGAGATTGCTGGAGATGGTTCCCGGCGCCAGAATAGCAGTTTCGTTTTCCCCATTGACTTACCTATAATGGTGAGGTCACCAAAATGACCTGACCTCATTTGACCTTAAGGAAAAATCAGAGATATACAAGTTGTGAGACTCGTAATGAATACTAGATTCTGCAAGTTTCATTTCCCTGTGAAAGCTCCTCTGTTAGTGAGGGCGTTGCGAATAGCGAAATCTGAAGACCGTGCAGAGGTTCATTTATGATGTCATAGGTCAGTGACCTGACCCGACCCGAACATGTAGTTGGTGTCAAAAGATCCGGCTTTAATAAAAAATCAGGAACGCCAAGTTTCAGCTCTCTATCGCCATCGTGTTCGGAGCTATCGCGAAAAAGCCTATAGGGGGGGGGGGGGGCACCCGCTCCCCTCGGCCGGCGAGGGCTAAATTTTGACTCACTGCATTCTAACTATACCCTTTGGCTTTTTTTGTCCAACTTAAGCTCATGTTGGCTGCGAAATATTAACCCTCGCCCGTAAACGGCGATCTGCCACCTTCGCCCATGCAGGGGGGGGGGTTGGTGCGACCCCCCCCTTGGCGTTTGAAAACGGAGCGTCGTAGAGCTTAGCGGAAAAGACCAACGGATTGCTCCCGCCGAGATCTCGCGATTGGTGGTATATTTTTTGGTCCTAGGTCAACATTTGACCTACTTTTGACCGGTCAAAGGTCAAATTTTCGGAAAAATAGACTTTTTTTCAACTTTCCGCGGCGATTGCGGCAAAACGGTGAGAGATATCGACTTGAAACCTTCACTATCGTGTTCCTTGATCAATTCTCTATCGTTTGGTATGTATTTCGTTTCCCTAGCTCTAAAAATGGCGCGTTGGGAGCGCCGGAAGTCGGCAAGGTCACAGTCGGCGGCAGAAATTCGAAAAATCAAAATTTAAATTTTTCAAATCTGATTGTATTTTTGGATTTGGAAGGTCCATTTGCTCCCTATAGAAGCTAATATTGCTGCATATTCCCATTGAGGTGACAAGAATTAGCAAAATAGTGGTTCGGGCGCTTTTCAAAAATAGTACCGGACGCTGTTCCTCTTGTGACGTCATAGCTCCGTGACCTGACCTGACCCGGTCAAGTTTCTTATACCATATGATAGCCAATACTTGCCCCAACATGCATGGGAAGTTTCATCACGATCCATCAACCGATGTCCGTACCACCGGCAGGAAACCTCGGGCGTTGGCACTCAGTTTGTGAAAATCCGGCCGGAGGCTGTTCCCTTTGTGACGTCATAACTCCGTGACCTGACATGACCCGGTCAATTTTTTTTTTATCAAAAGATGCGCAAGGTTTGCCCCATAAGGTACCCAAAATTTGGCGGCGCTGCGCGCCGCCGTTTTTGCACTATTTCCGAAAAACCTCGGGGGGGGGGGTTGCACCAACCCCCCCCCTACATGGGCGAGGGTTAAGCAATGCCTAGCTTTGTCACTTTTAGCATTTTCGAGCGTTCTTTAACCCGCGCCCCACCTGGGGGCTATTTATAGCTCCCTCCCGTTTTTATCCAATAACTTCCAAACCGCTTGACATATCGACGCCAAACTTTTATTACCTTCAGCTGCATCAATTTGACACCTTGTGATAAAATATTAACTTCGTAGCTACCATAGGTCGGCCGGAAGTGACGTCAGAGTGACGTCACGTTCGGCCGATTTCGAAGCAAAATATTGAACCACGTCAATCGCTCCCAATAACTCAGTTTTTTTAAGCTAGATCCAATTTCTTTGCATGAGAGAACTCAGAATAAACTGCGCTATCAAACTGTTATCTCGGAATTTCAAAATTTTTGAATATTTTGAAAATTATTTATAATAAATTTCAAAAATTATATTCTTATATTTAAAAAAATAAGTTTTGAGAAAAAACCGGAATGTATGTGATAGAACACATGCTAATGACTTACTCTAGCAAGTTTCAGCTAAATTTCTTTAAAAATGGCAAAGTTATACGCATTATTGCAAAACAAATCACAATTAACAAATTTTTTAATCAATTTTTCAGTACGTTTTGACATCGTACACCAATATAATTAGCCCCATCGTGTTCCTGAACTCAAACTGCATCCAATAGACACCTTTTTTGTTGGAAAACTTCAACTGCAAAACTTGACCTTTTTTACCTGAAAGTGACCTGACCTAAGCTAGATTCAACGTCTAGGCGGCACGGGTGAACATCGATAGTAGCGCCTCTAGCGGTCACTAGGGAAAGCTGGGCTGTAGGCGAAGAAATACCGGCTGAGTCGTCCCACGTTAGGTTTATAGACATCCGTCTCGTGAAAAAGTTCAACTTTTGCCTTCAATATTTCTAAAGGCAATTTTAGAAGTGTCTTTACATCTTACAAAACCGTTTAGATTAGGTATTGTATTTACTTCAAGCCTTCCCTATTGTTCTTGACGATGATGCGGGAACTATTTCTAATTTGTGTTTCTAGCTTAGTAAAAGAACATATTGTGAAAACGATGGGAAAAGCATAAATGGAAGGTTTTAAACGCAATTTTCTCTAACAATTAATGGTAGATTCGCTACACATAAAAAAATGTGCATGCTAACTGATAGTTCAAAGTTCTTTTGGGCTTGTTGTTTTCTTCTTCTCTTACGTCGCCCCAATGGCCGCGAATACACTTGTGATAACGCCTATCGACTCAAAACGACCTCGAATGACACAGACGACATCAAATCCGAAATCTCTGACCTAAATGGACCGTAAAACATGTGTCACGTGACCGACGCATGATATATTTCCCTGACCTGTGATGACCTTACCCTGACCTGAAAATCAAAGTGCAAGTTGGCTACCCTCAGGGTATCTATAGCATCTATTCACGAGTGTGTAAACCAAAAATGAGCCTGATCTGCCTTGTAAGCCGGCGGCCAGATCCCAAAATGTGAATAAGCCAAAATGCTAATACTTTTTACTTTGACCTGACCTGTGACGTCATCGGTGACATTGAGGTCAATGAAATTAGCTGTCGTATGACAGTTTTTCCGGGGCTATCAGACGCCCTTTGAATTTTGACCAGTGGTTTCGGAGTTAGGAGTTAGGCTATGAGGGGACTATACGCAGACCCCAGTAGGGCACGGGTTAAACAGCAAATAATGCAAGTCAAACGATATGGCAGACCTTGCTATGCAAGAAGATGATCATCTTACTATAGACCTTATCAGCTGCATTGGTGCCTAAGCTCTAAAGATAGGTAGGTGCAGCAGTCGTCAAGGGTTCTGTAACATCTGATCAACACCTTTTGACAAATTTATACCTACCGTACGTAAGTTGAAATTAGTTTGGTCTAACTTTTTGATCAATATCGACAAAGCCTGCCACCAAACTTACGTTTAGCACGATATTTCTCAATGTCGCAATATTTCCCAAAATCTCGTTACAAAAAAAATCACTATTTGTAGACGATGTGGCGTTTTTATTACCCATAATGCATCATTCCCAAGTGGTACATATACAAGCACGATCATTGGCGTCAGTACAAAACAGCTCAAGGCTGTTTGCACATTCATTTCTCTGGTCAAAGTAGCGCGTGTGGTCAGTATCAGGTCCGCCAACGGCGCAACCGAAGAAGAATCCTGAGGAGTTCTACATTATCCCGAGGATTTCTTTAGAAATCCTAAGATCTTCACAGTAACCCTTCGGCAACCTAAGGATGTGTTAAAAGATCTTTGAATTTCCTCAAAATCCGTGAGATTTCCTCAGAATCCTGATGATTCTTCCGCATTTATCCAGCCGATATCGTGCCGGTTCAGTCGCCGTCGCGCTATCTCACCGTACATTTATCCTACCATTTAGGCTTATACAGTTTGCTGTACTTGGCGGGTATTTTGTGAGGGATTACACATAGCCACTCCAATTTAGTATCGGGCACCCAGCCATACGGCCAGCCTTTGGGCGCTTTGCTGGGGAGCTTGCATGGCCAGACAGGCCGTTTCAGTGTGACGCTTCCGCTGGCGCTAGATGACTGGCTTCCCTTGACTGCACCGGTCAGGCGAGTCTGACCGCCGACCGAGGTCTCTGCAAAACCGCTGCCCTCTCCTGCCGAGTGGCCAGCGGCACCTCCGGTGTTGAAATCGGTCTTGGCGCTACCTACCGACTCTGCGCTGCCTCCTGAAGCTGCGTCACTCTTTCCGACGAGTTTGTTTTTAATGGCACCCAGCGCTGCAGAGGAGACGCTCTTCGCATCCACTGCGGAACTACCAGTCCTCGTTGATCTGATCTTTTGGTTGGAGTCTGACTCGGCGGCGACGTTGGAGCCCTGGTTGGCTGTACCTCCAGCGGAGGACTCGCCCTTGCTATCTGATCCTCCTCCTACGGTTGCCGAACTACCCGTGGTCTGTGCAGAAGTCTCGGCACCGAGCGCCCCACGTTTTCGACCTGTGGTTCCGGTACCGGTGGAGCGCTGGTCAGCCTCGCTCCTTCCGTCGCCTGTCGTCGATGTCTTCGTTTGAGAATCTGCACGTGACGTTGTGCCGTCACCGATTCCCCGACTGGAAGCCTTGCCAGCTGCGTCGGTTCCAGCGGATCCTGAAGAGGTACCCCCGGTCTTCGAGTTGGCATTGGAGACTGTGCTGGACCCTCCGGGAACCGTCAACGTTTCGGAGGCGGCGGTGTTGAGCGCCTCAGAAGCTGCCTTGCCGTCGCTGATGGTGGAGGTACTGGCACCTCCCTGGACATCGGACTTGGTATCGTCGCAGATGGTTCCCGCCTCTCCCGTGGCGTCGGAGGTCGACGTCGCCTCGCCGACACTTGCGCCGCTCGTCTGCTGGCCGGTCACACTCGCCCCCTTGCTGAAGCCAGGCTTGCACTTGACTTTGGTCGCGCTGGTGGAGGCGGCGCTTCCCTCCGTAGCTCCCTCCCTCTGCGAGTAGAGATCAACCTTGACTCCAGCTTTGCTTCCCTGATCGGCAGTCTGCTCCAGAGAGACAGCTCCACCTGAGGACTTACCAATGGCGGTACCTGCGGTCTTGAGCGTACCAACAGTCACCGCATCGGCGTCTGTGGCAGCCCTCTTCGGTGGAAGAGGTGGAGGAACGGGCGGTAGAGGTGGAGAAACGGGCGGCGTCACTCCGGGGGCAGGCGCCGATAGCGCCGCACCCAGGGAGAGAAGAAGGATCGCGGCAGGCAGCATGGTGGGATCGGACGGGGCGTCAGCCGAGGGGTGGGCCGCACTGCGACGAGTCAACGTGGCGGGAGGTTTTATAGAGGCCCGTCACCCACGCGGGGTGGTCTGTCAGGTGAACCGCTGACGTACAACTGCCACATTTCTCCGCCCAGTGTCCTGCGGTCATGCCTGTCATGACGCGTTAACCTCCTACCCCTCCCCGGACGCGACCATGGCTGACGCTTGGCTACCCCTCCCCCCAGCTACCCCCTCCTGGCGCCCCAACTGCCATGACTGACACAGCGCTACCCCTCCCCCTTCCCCTCACCCACCTGCCCCCGTTGCCCGAATGAGGTCCGGGCCAACGGTCAGCCCGTCTCCACCCACGGCACGCTGAGCTGGCGTCACTGACGTTCGGTTGAAGGTTGGAGGATGGCATTTGGTCGTCGGACCACCGCTCATGGCGCGGCGGCTCTGTGATGACTACTCTGACTCTATCGCTGACTCTAAGACTGACTACACTCTATGACTCTATGACTGTATTCTATATGAGCCGATGTGGAAGTCTACAGGATACGGTTTAATTTTGTTTGAGCCGCTGATAATCCGGCGATGGCTTATGTGAACAACTGTGAAGCTATATGAGTCGCTGTGATGCTACACGAGACACTGTGGGCCATTCTGAGGGTTACCGTGAGATACCGTGGGATACCGTGAGCTACCCTATGCGAGCCTATTTACATGCCAATGTGAGACGAGCCGGTGTGGTTCGCTACTGGTCTATATGTGTCCTTGTAAGCCAGTGTGAGCAGTTGTGAGCAGTGTGTGAGTCCTTGTAAGCTAGTGTGAGCAGTTGTGAGCAGCGTGTGAGCAGTGTTTGAGCAGTTGTGAGCAGTATGAGCAATGTGTGATCAGTTGTGAGCAGTGTGAGCAATGTGTGAGCAGTTGTGAGTAGTGTGTGAGTCCTTGCAAGCCAGTGTGAGCAATGTGTGAGTCCTTGTAAGCCAGTGTGAGCAGTTGTCGGTGAGTGTGTGAGTCATTATAAATTCAACCCTCTGTGAGCCGACACTCCTGACGCTTTGAGTCGCTGTTAGCCTATACGTGAGTCGCTGTGAGTCGCAGCGCATGGTGCTGTGACTCGCCGAGAGCCGCCGCATCCCTCTGACCTCTGTTTTAGTGTCAAAGTCTGGTTAGTTGGTTAATGTTGGTTGTTAATGCTGGTGCTGGTCAGCTATGTATTGTTGTTAATTAGCATTGTGACGGTTGTTAATTAGTTATGAGCCGGTGGAGCAGTTGGGGACTAGCTTTTGGAATGACTCTTTAGTGCCCTGATTGGAATATGTGACCAGTTGCTGTCACATTTAGCCAGCGTGGGCTGCTGTGAACTTTAGTGAGCCAATCTGAGTCACTGTGAATCACTATGAACCACTCTGCCCTGTGGGGAGCTGTGGGTCTATATTGAGTTATGTAAGCCGATATTGGAATCTGTGAGCTACTATGAGATTATGTAAGCCGATGTCGGCAGCTATGAGCCTGTGTGAGCAGTGAGCCAAGAACCGGTGCGTACTGTGTTGTGTCTTTTTGGGTTATTTTTTGTCGGTTTTTGAGTCCATGTGAGTCCATGAGCCTTTATGAGCATTATGAGTCCAGGTGAGCCATGTTGTAAGTGGGCGAGCTTCTGTGCACCTCAACTCAATACTCATGGGACTGTGAGTCTTTGTGGGACGATGCGAGCCTTTGTTAGCCATAGGCGGCGGAACGGCTGAGGGGGCACCGGGGCACCGTGCCCCCCTTTGATATTTCCATTTTAACATTAGCCCTATGGGCGTTGCATGGAAAGAATGGGACCAAAAGTCGGCATTGCCCCCCACCCCTTAATTGAAGGTGCTCCGACCGCCACCACTGTTGTCAGGCCCCTTGTAAGTTGGTGTGAGCCAGACGCTAGGCGCTGTTCAGCGGCTGAGATGTGAGTGTGACTCATGGCTCTCTGAGACTTTATGAGCCTCTAATTGTCTCTGAGTCTACATAGTCTCTGAGTCTACATAGTCTCTGAGTCTATGTCGATCGTGGCCTGGTCACTGAATGTCGTAAGGAACCAGTGCTATATTTTCATGTATTATGATTCTGTATTACCTATGCAGTTCTTTGAGTCGCGATCAATAGCGCTGTAAGCCTATGTGAGCTCCTGTGAGCCATTTTGAGCCCTTGTGAGCTTGCAGTGAGCATTTGTAAGTCACAATGACCCATTGCTTCTGGCTTACTGTGCTGTGAGCCGCTTTCAATGAGACTGTCATCAGTCATGATAAAACTTAGTTGATTGCCATTGTCTATTTGTGTAAGCAGTAAACACGTAAGCAAGCACTTTTTTCCAGTTCAAGAAGTTAGTCATAAGCACTTTTGTTCCCTCCCACCAGAAGAAAAACTTGACTGCTACTTGACCTTGAGCGATGCCCTCGAGGTTGGCATCGCGACGCTAAAAGATAAGTTCTCCAAAAATCTTCCTTGGTCAACGAACATCATGCTCTGCTTAGCCTTACAGCGACGAACAGAACACACAGTCACCTCTGACATTCCCAAACCCCCTAGTGACGTCACTTGTGCAGTTAAATCGTGCTTAGGGGGGTCAGCAATGACTGTGGTCAATCACACTGACAGCAGTGTCCGGTATAGTTGGTCGTGAGATGAGATGAGTTGGCGCTAAACTGAATTCGCATCGGATGCGTAAGAGGGGCTAGCCCTCGCCATTTTAAGGAAGCGTTTTTTGGGAGGGGGGGGGGGGGGAGGTGGTGGCGTCCTCATCAGCCCTTAGCTTTCTTTGCGAATATCTAGAAGACGGCGCAAATATCAGCGCATTATAAGCGGTAAACGTCGAAAAAGTCAAAGCTGGGCGAAAACCCCTCCCAAGACAGCGTCCTGGAGACGCCTCTGAGCAAGCTCAAAACTCAAAATTTTTGCACAATGTTGCCAATGAAGACATCAGAAAGTCACCAAATTTAGAAGGCTACCTCAAGGGTTTTTTCGTAGAGAGCAGAAAACCCACCCGTGGTGCCGAACCGCCCCCCCCCCTCACCAGTAACAACGTAAAAATAGGTAGCTCTTAACCAAGTGGTTTAGTCGTACACCACACCTGTTTGAGGGAAACAGCTTCCAGGATTTAATCGCGCAATCCGCGTTTCGATCATGTTAAGAACAGACGATCTTGGATTCATTTATAGAACTGCAAAGATGCTAATGTATAAAACGTTGTTTTGACACCAGCTTTATTACACTTAGGTACCGGGGTTACATGAGCAAGTAAATGCGTATCAGGAACGGATTTTCCTATTCGCTCACCATTGTAGTCCGTTTGTAATGCGTATTAACTTTGCTCATGTAACCCCGAGCACTGACAAACAGACATACTGTCAAACAGACTCAGCCGAACTTTTTTTTTCAGCGACCCACCAATGTATAAAGATGCTAACTAGACACACCTTAGCCAGCGTTGAAACTTTGTTGCGTCAGCTGCCGTGCCGACCGCCCGTCCACCTATGGTCAGCGCCCCTCCCCCCTCCCCTAGTGGGGTGAAAGGTCAACTGACCACGTGCTCTTGGGGAGGGGAAGGGGGGTCGGCTTCATGACAGATAGATCCGGCCCCCACCCCCGCCCCGCCAGTCGAGGGGGGGGGGCCTTTCCATGTCAGAGCTGTGTCCTGTTCGAGTACATGTGAGCTGATAAAGCACGTGATCGCGAGTTTTTTTTTTGTGTGGAAATTAACACAGTGATTCATGGCAAGAAATGAATCTTACCACAACTTTTCGCTGGTGACAAAAACGCTTGAAATGTTTTACGCTAACATTCTTGTCTTCAGCATGATAGTGTTCAGAGAGCAGAAAACAAGTTTGTGAACAAAGAGGAGCAATTAGGGCACTAGCCACTAATGTATCGATTAGGATAATGGATCGATAGATTATTGCACTGGACACTTTCCGTCAATCAAGATCATTTCAGGCCGAGGGAGGGGCTGGATTGGAAAGATCACGAAGAAACATTGAGACGAGTCGATCATGGATTTGGGTTGTGCTCAGTATGGAAGAAAGGGATCAAAAACTTGATCCCATCCCACCGGAAATGGGTTGTGCCGCTGGGTCAGACCGCTAAGCCGCCCAAACGATCACAGAGTTGGCTTACTAGACCTGAGGCCAGTTTTACCAACAGAAAAATAGCCGCCGGCCGGAATTTTTTGTCTAAAGTCCATTTCACATACGGAGCGTAAACGGTAAAGCCCTATCCGCTTACGTGCCCAGCGCATTTACGCTCTGTATGTGAAGCGGTCTTTTGTCAAAAAATTCCGGCAGGCGGCTATTTTTCTGTTGGTAAAACTGGCCTCAGTCGGCCCGCCCCGGCGTGGTAACCCTGACGGGGAAATATTTGTCGGGCAGCCCCCACCCATCCCTCTGATGGGAGGAGCTTTTCTGGGGAAGTTAGTGGGGTATATAGTCACCAAAATAACAATGCCCGATTGTCAAGTGAAATGAATTGCCAGACTGAAGCTACTTCTATCATTGCAAAGATAATCTTTGGCATTAAACAGACATTCCAAAGCTCCTCAATTGATTTGCAAGGATACAAATTCCTGCCAATGAGTTCAAGTTAACAGGACACAACGGTTATTGGTGGGGCTACATGGTAAGTTGGTGTGGCAGAGTGATATTGGATGTGACAGTTTCTCCACCCACTGAACCTATAGACCGTAGGAAACTCCGCCCCTGCTGATGACTGATGGGGGCTGTGTGACCGTCAGAGCGGGCAAATGCGATCCAAGATGAGCATCAGGATAATATGATAAGGTGACGGAGGATATCTCCTTCCTTACCGGTTTAATTTGGTTGGAACTTGGAAGGCATCACATAACGGAACCCTGAATGAATCTTTACATCGTGCTCGCTAGCAGCGCTTGGGAACTGTGCTAGGTGTCGCCACTGAGGCTGTTCTAGATGTCGCACCCATCGCTCCCGTCTGCTTGGCTGTGCCATTGCTCCTTGATTCTGCGACTGAACTCTGAAGCATATTAGGTACGATTTGAAATCTGGATCACAGCCCTGTTCCAAAAAAGTGAACACGACAATGCTTCAATGTTTACTGAACGCTTTTATTCAGTCTAAAAGCAGGCCGCCCGTCGCCCCGCTCAGTTCGTTTTTTTTTTTCTTATTTGATTGACAGTGGTGAACTTAGTCCTAAAGATCGCCTGTTTCGCACGGATTTGGCTTACCTTCAACATTTTACCACAAACAGCAAACTCGTCCTTTATACCGAGTTCGTTTATATTGTTCCTTGCTGACGCTGTTGAAAGAAGAAAACAAGTTCATTTTTCAGATAATGGCAATGCTTTCTTGTTATTGACACGGTCAAACCATTTTTCACGATTTGATCTTTATTTTGTTAGTCTTGGTTTTCAAAGAAACATTTATATCACACTGAATGAACGTGTTTACTCAGCCTGATGATTGTAAAAGTCAAGGTATTTATATTGAATTGTTAAAGCAGCCACCCGTGACGTACAGCTTCTCTCAACTCCAGCCTGTGTTTTTTTCAAAGGATTTTGACCAGGGCCTCGTTTCATAAAGCTCTGCCGTAACTTACACCTTTCCGTAATTCACACCCTTTCAAACTACGGAGCGCAAACGAAGCCGTTTCACAAAGCCACAACTGGAATTGTTTACACCTCCGTAACTAAGCACATTTGCGTAGTTACCGTAATTCATCAAGCGTCCTACAAATTACAAGTTCATGTCAACACTTATTTTTTTACAAGAAATTATAAAACAATTACGCTGAATTTAAATCGTAAAAATTATTTATAAAAAACAAAATCGATTTTGCTGACCATCCTTTATTAAATCAATTTATTGAAAACAGCAGAAAGCTGCAGCTAAGCGGAGGTGCCTAACTACGAAAGTGGCGCGGCGCGGCGAATAAACAAAACTCCGACAGGGGCCACAAAAAGCGACTCGTACAGAAGATTTGCAGTTTCTTTTTCTCATTTTGGCTGTTCTTTCTTCATCACCGGGCTCAACATTATAAAAAAAGATAAAATTAGCTTCGAATCTTAACATTAATTCAAATTCACGCAACATTTTTGTGCGTAGTTTACACCACTGATATCAAGAACTTGATAAAATATTTGGCGTTAATTACGTCGTTTTATGAAACCCAAATGGCATCAATTGGTCCCGAATCGAGCATTTGCCGTAAACGATGCTCCGTAATTTCGATGGCGTGAATTACTCCGGTCTTCGGCTTTGTGGAACCGAATTGGCATCAAATACGCCAAATCTGGCATAATTAACGGAACGCCGTAAGTAATTCCTTTTATGAAACGAGGCCCAGGTTTCATTTTTATCCATAAACCATCCGTAGGACATAACAATTTACAAATTACAAAAATATAGCGCTACATCATTGAGTTGTATATCATCGTGCAACTCGGATGCACCTTCTTGCCAACAAGTCCTCCTTTTTCAGCATTCTTTCCACTCTCTTCGGCTCAGAGCCTTTGCGGATTTTCCGGACAAACTATGCTCCACTAAGAAAGAGACTCAGACAAGCTTAAGAAAATAAATAAAAAACAGATTCCAGGATTATTAAATGTTGAACTGCATCATAAGTGCTATAGAATGTGTGTCTTTGTAAGCGTTGGTCTAAGTAAGGAAATGATTATTTTACTCTTATTTAGGGTGCCAATAGTAGGCAGGCAATGGTCGGACGGATACAATAACAATTTGCCCGGAAGAAACATTGTCATGACCACCCATTCGCTACTTAAATGAACTGGAGCCAAATGCTGATCTGCCCTGTTGCACGTTACATCTTACATTTAGCTGCTTCAACAAGTCACACTAATTCAGTACATCTTCCATGTCTTCAGCAACAGGTCATACAACACATCAGGTGTCCTCTCTCTCTCTCTCTCTCTCTCTCTCTCTCTCTCTCTCTCTCTCTCTCTCTCTCTCTCTCTCTCTCTCTCTCTCTCTCTCTCTCTCTCTCTCTCTCTCTCTCCAGCTCCCCTCTCCCCCTCTCTCTCTCCCCCTCTCTCTCCTTCCCCTCCCCAGCTCCAAGGACCGTCGGCTGCCCCCCTCTCCAGCGGAGGGGTCATCCCACCTCGGGACCCGGCTCCGTATCCATACGTCCTCGGGCAGTCGGAGGAGGAGGTCGTGTCGCGTCCCGACTTGTGGCCGAGACTCTGGACAGTGAGGATTCACAGCGTCTCATAGGGGAGAGGAAGAGAGAAAGAGAGAGTGGAGAGTGGACAGAGTGAGGAGGACGGTGGTTATCGAAACTATTTGGTGATGATACGGGAGTATTGTGAACTGACGGAAGTGGCTCTGATGGAAGGATGAAACTCTGGTGGTGAAACGGATCACGGTTGGTGACGTGGAATTGACTTGACGTCAGGTGGCGTTTAACGGAAGGAGGCGGTGGATTGCGGTTACTGACAGAAAAGTGATCACGAGTTGAGACTCATTACGATATTTTAGCAGCATCTGTGGCTGTTGAAAAAAGGCAAATTAGACGCCGAACCACAAATACTCTCCAGCTGATTGATTTTGTCAAATCCCTTATCATTTTCATCTTCTCCTTTATTTCTTTTTGTCAGAGCATTTACGGGATCAACAGAGACGACACAACGTCAGCGTTCAAAAACTCTATCTGTTTCTGATGAATGAGATCTCCGGCCGCCGCTACGCCTAAACATTCATTCAAACGCAACGGGAGTGAAACTTGCCACGTGTGAACGATACCACGTGCGAAAGTTGCCCGCACGTGTGAACACGCCAAGAGCAGGACATGCCGCGCGTAACAACACATCTCTTGTGAACATCGCCCCAAGATCTCCACGTGTGAGCACTAACACGTGTGAACAGTGCCACGTACCACCACGTGTTGGAAGTCACCACGTGTCATCAGCCATGGAATCCGCATCCCCCGAAGACATGTGCGCGAATGAAACTACAAACATGTTTGGAGGGTTTGAGTTCGCCAACTTTTCGTACCCACAGAAGTATGATCCGCTGGACTTCAGTACTGCCGATCTAGTCAAGGTCAGGTCAAGGTCACTGGGTCTGGGGTGGGGGTGGGAGGGGATGGTGGGGAAGGGGGCAAAGAGGCTGGTTAGGGGCGAGATTTATGTTTAAGTGATATGTAATTCTAGGAAATTCGGGTTAAAAGGTAAATATTAAACTAAGATCGATATTACGGAACACGGTACATAAGATACTCAACGTTGCCTTACGATTTTCTTACATGCTACTTTTAACACTGACATTTCTTCCAACTTAAAAGAAAATGCTGCTATCTTCATCGTGAACTGTCTGTCCTTCCATAGTATTTCTTGTCTTTCTTTCATGCCTGAAAATAAACCGTTTGTTTTTCATGTTTTCGCAAAGTTTCAATTGAATAACCTTCCAGGAAAAGAAAAAAAGCTTTAGAAATTAGCTCTCCTCAATCTAACTATAACTCGTGCCACTTCGCCCTGACATGTTTTTCGTTTCCTGCAATATCAGCTCCGCATTTTGAATTCGTGACGTCAGAAATATGGATTAGTGACGTCAGCAATGCAAACATTGGATGCATATGCCATAATGCATATGGATGAGGCGTCAGCGAAATTTGATTACCGAACCTCGGCGGCTGTGCTTCGGTGATGAGACGAAATTTAATATTTACAAGTTCCAAACCAAATCATACCGATATTCCAGTATTCCAGTATTCCACAAAAGGACGGGATTGTTAATGAATGAGTATATGAGCCGGCAATAATAAGGATTACAATTCCAAGGATTATTGGTAGGCAGAAGTTCGTAAAAATCAGTTTTCGCTTTGTGTGACCGGATAAATTTTGAGAACTTGATACAAATTTAGGAGTTGCAGCTCTGAGGGGGGCCGAGCTGTGTATTGCAGTTTTTTTGCATACTCCTATGCAAGATTGTGTTTTGCTAATTAAATGCTAAATAGTGTCATTATCCAAAACAATTCTGACTAGCATTGAGATCACCAACTCTTATAATGATTTTCATCACTACCAAATTCTGCGTAATATAGATCATAACGATTATTTTCCTTCTAGAAATATGATAATGCACGATTGGGTTTCCAGATTGCATCCCCATATGCTTGTTGCGAACAGCACTTTTACAGAACACGGAAATGAGATTTTATTCCAGGTTATTTGGCAGGAGATTAAATTTATTCGGCTCGAGCTGCCGGCCCACTCCAGAAAGTCATGCATTTTGCAAACAGAAACACAGAAACAGCAAAAGCCACTTCCAGTTGATTACATTTACATGATGAGAGAATTAAAATTTCAACAATTAATCTGTACTTTGGGAAATTTCATAATGAACGGTACTCTACCGAGCAAGTTTGGAATATCAAATCGCAATAACCTCAGTTTAATTACAACCATGGTGTACATAATTAGCAGCATCGCAGTACCAGATATCACTATATTAGTGTTAAGCCTAAGCTACACTAGCATGAATTCCGACGTTTTTTCGGTTTCTGCAGGATTTCGGTTCGCGTCGTCAAGTTCGCCTCATAGCGAATGCATTGCGCAAGCTACACTGCCAGTCTGGCGTCCCGTGGGACGAAAACCCGCAAAAACCGACGAGTCGGAACCGAAAAAAGTTCAGAGCTGTGAACTTTTTCTCGGTTTCTGCGGGATTTCGTTTTAGTGATGAATGATTAGAAGTGATTGTTGCTGATAATATTGTGACGATGGAACAGTTTCAAAAGTAAATGATGTAAATGGTGTAATTCATGATTAAAGAAGACAAGATATGCTTCAAAACTCTTCATTCTACTTCAAATATGATAATACAGAAAATTGTATCTAAGCTGACAAATGATTATGATCGAAAATATATTTTGGTTAGTTGTAAAATATTTAAAACAATTATTCAATTATAATTTTGTTAAAATACAATAATATTTAACATGAATAATTAATTAATTCGATCACTTATCCATCACTATGCTATAAACAACAGCGTCCACTCGGCGGCCGCCCGGAACGAAAAAACGCAGAAACCGTAAAAACGCGGAAACCGAAATCACGCAGAAACCGAAAAAAACGCTGACAGTGTAGTCTGAGCTTTAAGCACACTATCCTACACTTTGAAACACGTCCACCAAAATGCTATCGACTGAAGCCGGGTTTACGCCGCTAAAACGATTTGATGAACTCAGGCTAGTTCAGCAGATGTGTGGGATTGCTCGAGATGAACACCACTTTAGACAAACGGCTCTATTTTCGGTAACGCGTGACTCATTGATCAGAAATCCTTCACTTTAAAGGCTCTGTCAGGGACGGATTGATCGATGCAGCATCAGCAATTGAAATGTAGCTTTTGTAGAAAGGGGCAATTCAACTTATCGGTCTAAGATATTGTCCAGAATTGGAGGATCAAAAGCATGCGATAGCATGCTTTTGCATCCGGAAATTCCCATTGGTGGGTCGCTGAAAAAAAGTTCGGCTGAACCTGTTTGTCAGTGAGTGAGTATGTGAGTATGTGAGTGAGTTTGTCCAAGCTTTTTTGGACCTGGAGTCAAAATGGGTGGACCGATCGGGACGAAAGTGGGACCGTTTGATTCGTCTCCGGCGAGGTAAACTTTTGGTGCTGGCCTCGGTTCGCTCGGTGCTTCGTGGCACATGCTATTCCGCTTCAAAGTTTCGGTGACACGAAATTTTTTGTCAAGGCTACAGGTCAACCCGAGGCCACGGGCAAAGCCACACTGGCGGGACACATCGGTAACACCTTGAACCAGTTTCCAGGGGGGTCACCGTCTGCGAGGGGTGCAGGCTGCACGTGCTGGGGGCGGAAAACCGTTTTGACGTGAGGTCCTCTGGCTCAAAGAAATCTTGAGCTATCGACCTCAAAATCGGTTCAATGGTAGTCCCAGGCAAGGCCTCCAAAATAGTGCACATTTGGTTGAGCTAAACCCTGTGGTGCATGAGCTATGCACGTGCAAGCCGATTGCACCCCTTCGTACGTTGCCACACCTGCAGGGTAAACGGCAGCTCTAACTGGTTCAAAACTTGCAGGTCATAAGAAGAATACATTTGATCATGACATTCCGGCGAAATAATATCAGAGGGGTGCAAGCTGCGCGTGCGGGGGGCGGATAACGGTTTTGACGAGGGATCCTCTGATCCCGGGAAACGTCGATCTAGCGACACAAAAGTCGGTATACTGATAGAACTAGACACACGCTACAGGATGTTATGAAAATGACTGCACTGGGGTGCCTGAGACATGAACTATGCACGTGCAGTTAATTCATATCTTACGTGTACTGTAGGTAGATATCCACACAAATTTCACGTGCTTCCAAGCATTTTTGGGATGTTTCGGCTGGTTTCAGGTTCAGTCCAAGCGAGTCCTGGCGAGTCCAAGCTCAGTCCGCTCAGTCCAAGCTCAGTCTGGGTTTCGGTGGTTTGGTCCGGTGTGTGCCCTCAGTACCGTTCCTCCAATTCTGGCCCAAGGCAACGCAAGAGCGCTGCCGGCATCTAGTATTAGACGTGATTCACGCCGTTTCAAAGATCGTTCGATCAAACATCGATTGGTGCATTTATTTTGCTTGTAGCCAAGGGATAGGTCATTTACTGAGTTTACGATATACCTAGGGCGAATGGGGACGGCTTCCAATTAATTTACGGTTATGGGCTCTAGTAAATATAATGACGCAATAGCCTGTAACTGAAAAGGTCTTTCATGGTCATTTTTTTGTAGTAGCGACTCTTGACCTCTGAAGCGGTTAGTGTAGCAACCACTTCCAAGTTCCAAGGTCCTCGACTCACTTCATGTAGTATGAAGTGGCCTTTAATTAAAACGAGCAGCATGAACCTGGCTTTATACGCTCTGTTTGATATGAACCAGCTCTTCAGCATCCTGTCAAGTTTGTTTATCTCCCGGTAACCCTTTGAAGTCTCGTGAAAAGGAGGAACATTAAATCACGGAAGAGGAAATGGATGCGTTGATCTTTTAGAAGTTGAAGATAGGCCATGGAGCGAGATGAAAATATAGTTTTTTTGACATATTTGATTCCCTTTATTGTGAACTGTGTTTATATGAGAGAATTAAATTTAGTGGGATGCCAACGGATACGTGGATAAAAGATAAATGCAGCCACGTTAAACATAACATTTTCTCTGTTTAACTAGTCTCTGTCCATTCAAAATTCATTTCAACATCTATGGCCATCCTTTCAGCGAAGTCCCGTCCCTTCGTCTTACAATTTCCTGTTCGACCCACTGTAGGAACCCCTGAACGTAATACCGCGTGCACGTGGATATGAATGGAAGGCTTATCGCGGATGCTGGAGGTGAAACGCAAATGTCGGATTCTTTCTGAAGCATGTGGCGAGATCAACCCAGGGAGAGAAGTAAAAGGTTACGGAATGACGGGGATGATAGTTATGATGAATTTGGAAAAATGGTTGATTGAGATTTAGACATAGCAATGCGTGGTGTAAATTGTGAGGTGAAACTTACAGGTTGTTTCTTCTCTCTCTAGTCTCTACTCTTAGAGGCATTAATGATGGGAAGAGTTAATGAGTTATATTCATATTAAATTACAGATATCTTATTCCTATCTGATAAGCATAAATGTTTTGCATGTCGTTAAGGCAATAGCTTGTAAATATATCTACTTATATGTATTTCTAAAATGAAATCTCACATCTCACAGGCATATTCTCAATCATTTCGAATACCGCTAGTAAAACAACTTATGTAATAATAATTGCCCTGTCATATGCAGCTGACAACAAAGCTCCGTTATCTGCGTCACTAATCAGATACCGGGTCCGGAGTTTATTATCTCTTTCTGCTGTCTTTCTCATAAATGTCACATCATAGCGTGTCTTGTCTAGCACATCCCTGGGGATGGCAGTAATGTATATTGGCCTTTCGACAGAAGTTCTCTGTGTTTGATATTTTCTCGGTATATTGGTTGAGCAGTATTTTGTGAAAGGCAAAGAAACAGCGTATAGCAACAAAGCCCAGTAAGATACCTCATGCGTTATCACGCCAGTACGTTGCCGCTTATACGATATTTTAAATTTATAGAATCCAAGGCATAATAAAATGGCTCATTCACTGGAAAGAGCTGAGATATCTAGTCGTTTGGCGCTGGCATATACACTAACGAAATACTATTTTTCTGTGAATAATTATAACGTTAGCATAAATTTAGCTTCACTTGTCTCGGCTTTCTTTCCCTCTATCCTTCCTTCGCTTGCTCGTTCCTTTCTCAATTCAATTAGCAATCTTTTTTACCTACTAGGTAGCCATCGTGATAAGTGATATTGAATCACCAATAACTTCCCAGTTATGAACTCATTGCCAAGATGTCACCAATTACCTTCGTCCCACACTCGGCAGTCTCACATCCCTGAACCTTCACTACCTCTAGTGACACAATTTCACTCTCTCCAAATACACTTAGCTATAGCTCACAATCCTATCACAACCAGCATCATGATTTAACCCCCCCCCCCCCAGCTCCTCCCACTACCACCACCCCAATGACGTCATATTTCTCTCTTTTCCCCAGATGGTCGCGTACGGCCTCGTCTTCTTTGTCCCCAGCCCCAGCCCCTCCCACCACCACCCCAATGACGTCATATTTCTGTCTTTTCCCCAGATGGTCGCGTGCGGCCTCGTCTTCTTTGTCCTCAGCCCCAGCCCCTCCCACCACCACCCCAATGACGTAATATTTATCTCTCTTCCCCAGATGGTCGCGTACGGCATCGTCTTCTTTGTCTCCCTCATCGGCAATCTCAGCGTCGTGGCCATCTCTGCAGCAAACTCCCACATGAGAAGCGCCATAAATGCCTACCTGGTGAATCTGGCAGCAGCCGATATCTGCATCGTGCTGTTTTGTATGTGGGTACATCTGGTGAATAATCTCAGCGAGCCGATGTTCGTCTTGGGAGCATTCTGGTGCAAGTTTAACGGATTTGCGCAAAGTAAGTGAGATGGGGGAAGGGAGGGGAGGGAGGGAGAAAGGGAAGGAAAGTTGGGAAGGGATGGAAGGCAGGGATAGGAGAGGAGGGAGAGAGGTATGGAAGGGACTGTGTTCAAATGCTGCTATCACCATAACGGTTATGCATTGTGGCTCACCAGTCATCATTTTATCAAGGCCATTTGTTTTTTTTTACCAAAATTTGACATCCTTTGAATAATTTTACCAAATATTTAATATTTCACACTTAGCGCATATGCGTTACCAACGGTGCTTAAAGGTCACCTGCCATGACTGGTGGCCTCGGAATCTGACACACACGACCAGATATTTTAATTTTAGCCATCAGGCGTTCTGCGTACACTCCCCCTCCCCTCCCCTCCCTGTGTTCAGCCTGCCTCCCCCAGCGGACGATGTCAAATACCGGCGGTGTGCCGGTGGATATTTGAATGCCGCACATTTGTGGGTAGATGGAGTTTCACTTGAGGTAGCTGAGCGGAATTCGAGAGTGACAATCAGATATACATATTACATAGACCCTGTTTCCATGAGCATCACTGATTCGGATCAGCCAATTCAAATCGTCATATATTTCTCGAACTCTCAGGTACATGATAGGTATAATTCCAAGTGGATTAGGCTTACATAATACATAATCAGTTAATCCCTTATTTTCATTTTCATATATTGTCTAACTATACTGGATTAGCTAATCCATTTTTACTGATCCGGATCAGTGATGCCCATGGAAACGTGGTCATAGTCATTATAGTGTCGTGATACTCAGTCGTAGGTGACACTCAGTACCAGTCCGCGATGAATGTTTCCATAGAAAGATTCAAACTACACTAATAGTCGTAACTAACCCATAACTAAACGTGGGATAACGATTCATAAACGGAGGCACTCATAAACCATGCCTACACAGACCAACCAGATCTACCAGTCACCTTCATTCTACTATCTATGCCGCCATATCTCCTAGAATAACCCCCCCCCCCGCCCTTCTCTTTGTTCAGCCAATTCACAACTTCCCTTCCGTTCCAACAGTCTTGCCGGTTCGAACGCGTCCACTCGTCAGGTCAGGTCCAACAATGGCTTCAAGTCAGAGAAACATGTTGTGGCGCAGTCTACCTTTTCTATCGAAATGGTCAGCCCCTTCTGCCAGAATGCTTTTTCTGCACCGTGGAGCGAAAAATCGCAACCGCGGCGTGTTAGCTGATGTGATTTCGAATCTCTCCCGTTCAGTGTTTATTTTACACTTGGCCAGGTGGCGAAGAGGGAATGTTTCTTTTCTGCACGGGTGAAGATAATTCTGGTGGAAAATAGGAATGCACTGCAATGCGCTCAACAATAGATCGTTTGGGCCGATAATAATAATTTTAGAGTTTATGAGATGATCGTTTACTGCAATATAAAATTGTCGCCCGATAATAATTGCATATAGACTTTACAGTCTTTGCATTCAGTCTTTACCTACAGGGTTGGGCAGATAAATTGGGACAAATTTCAACTTCCTCTAAAACGACTATTTTTCTAGAGATTAAGATAATTTTTGAACATAAATATAGGCTAATGAATACTTTTCCATGTTATGCAGGTTGCGTTGTAATTTTGAGTCGGCTGGTCACAGAACGTGGGCTTAGGCAAGTCACTGTCAACTTAGTCCGCGCGCACATGCATGCCAATACTCTAATTATGCTCCATCAAATGGCTGAAAGTAGTGTGTATCGAACAGACGTAAACGTTGGAGGAAGAGAAGATGTTGACTCATCCTTACATACTTCTTGTATTGACACCGGCCGCTCCCCCGGTTTTCCAGGGGGGCTAAAAGGCAAATTTCAGTTAAATCAGAGGATCCTCGCGAAAACAGTGGCGCGAGCTTACAACGAAGCTAGCCGCGCCATGAGAAAGCGATATACCAGCACCTCAAACATGTACTCTTATGCATTGATGCATATCAACCTGTTAACATAGATGTTGAAGCAGCTGTGACGTTAAAAAGATTGTTTCCTCTTGAAGGGCTTGGAGAAGCGAGCAAGCACGTGCAGGTCTTTTTCGACGATGGTATCCCCATAACCGAACATATGAACAAGCGCAAACACCATGAAACATCGCAACCAGCTCAGAAGACGTGATCTTAGTTCCAAAAAGCATGCAGCAGACCTCGGTGATGGCATTTCACTCGGTGACTTCTGACGGCCACGTGGGGCCCCCTCATTTTACGGAATCGGGAGGGGGTTCGCCATTACAGCGTACCATAACCATTATTCCGGCAGTTCGAATCAACAAGATGGAAGAAGGCAACATCCTGCATGGAGTGATGCTCTTCGAGGAGTCAGCTCCCCGGCATACAGTAAATTAAATACAAAATCTGAAACGGAGGATCCCGCAAACTGTACCCAAGGGAAAATGCCCCCTTCCTCATTAAACCTCAGCCCACACAAGTTCTGGTTGCTGGGGCGTTTTTGCGGGTGAGTCTAACGAACGTCCCCATGTGACTGTGGTGAGTCTCAGCAGTGCCAGTTGGCTACAATTACGAGCCATTTCAGACGGGAGATCTCGCCGCGCGTGCGGCCAGTCCAGGCACCGATAAGGACTGATGCGGGTGGACCACGGTGACCATATTTGGTGATAAATGTGTAAAATTGGTGTGACAATAGGTGATCCAAATTTGAAATGCCTACGTTTACAAATTTCTAAGCTATGGTGTTCTGAATGCAAATATGTATTTTGTCCCAATTTATCTGCCCAACCCTGTATACCTATATAACGGAGGATTGAGGACTTGCCTGGAAATCGACAGCAGTTTCAATGTGTTTCCTTACTCAACAACAAAACTTGAGTGTTGTGTGAATTGCTTGCTTAGATATAAGAACGTGTGCCTTGTTAAGGCACACGTTGCTGCGCGATAGGTTGAAAAGATTCCCTGGGCTGTGCTCTGATCAGACAATCGTGATCACCAGCCCTACAGCTGTCAGAAGTGTAGATCTACAGTCAGATGTAAAACAAATCGTCATTCCCAAATGCAGCATTGGGATTAGTTGGGGCATTGAGATATTTCATCTCGTTTGCAGTCTGATTCTCACCTTCTTGTGCATTTTTTGTTTGAACATCCACCACAGCATTTCACTACATACACCGGAGTATATTTCAAATTTATAAAGTAACACAGGCAAAATTGTGCATGCACAGCGAATGCACTGGCCTACATAGAAAACGCTGAAATATAATATCCAGCTTCCTAGAAGACCACTTGGTACGTGCTGCCATTCTTCAGACGGCCGCCATGACCTTCCATGGGTTATTGAGGATGTTACGTGAGCCTCCTTTCATTGCGTCTTTGAAGAGTCAGGCTTGCCGAAGTGGGGGGGGGGGGTATTTGACAAAGTTCAGCTATTCGAAATGACACGTGGCCTTTGTGCTGGGTTGTTGACTGATGGTGTTCGATGAATTTAGTGTGAGTTTTATTTGGTGTGAAATTTCATTCAGGAACATAACTCCAAAGTAACAACTGCATGCATATATTGATTGATTGTGGTTATCCCGAGCCATTGATCGTTTGTCAAATGTTATTCAAAATTTATCACCAAAGCATTGACAACAGTTTTCACGATGAACGATTTATACCCATCCATTTATCCAGTATAAATCTCAGTAGCACGTTATCCATTATCATACCGAGGAATGCATATCTGTGCTGTGCCAGTTGGATGTGTCTCGGTGACTATTCAGTCTGGTTTACAAGGCTTCGACGTACTCTGTGCCGTATTTGATCCTGAGACCTGAGGTGCACACCTTGGGGCTTGGACCCTGAGACGCTTTGGTCGGTGGCATGACAGTTTGAGTAGGCACTCGTGATCACTTGCTTTCGGCTCTCAAACGAGTAAAACTAACACTCACTCAATTAAAACTAAAACTAACACTAAAACTCACTAAAACTAACAGTTACACTCAATAGAGCAAAACAAGTCGGCCGTAGTAGGGGAGACCCGGGAGGTATGGGCCGGTTTTGTGAAAAGGCAATTTTCTTCCAGTGGGCAGTGGCTAGACCCGGTTTTTCACTCTGTGTACGTGAAATTGCCTTTCGCCTGCAACGTGTGCCTGATATTAGGCATCTTGGATAAACTATTTTGTCTCGAGATAACTTTCAATAAATCATGTGCTTTTTCGATCCATCAAAATACACCGGGAGGTATGGACCATGGCCCGGGAGGTATGGGCCGGTGCCACGTTTCATATTCTTTTCTCGACAATGAAAATAATACTCGTAGCTGGTACCTACCTTGATCTCTCTTAAGGCCGCCCCACACTGGAACTCGCATGCGGGTTGCGAGTTTTTGGGTTTTCGGGTTTATTCAAGTTCAAATCATGCAATCTAAGCTGAGTGACCCACACTACCATCTAACAGGCGAGTCTGTATGTTTTTAGCTTGCGAGCGACCTTGCATCGCATTCCAATAGTTGATTTTGAGTCAACTTTCGATTTTCCTCGCTGCGAGGTCTGCGAGTTCTGCGAGGTTTGCGGGTTTTTCGTTGGAGCCGAATTTTGGTTCGTTGCGCTGATATTGCCACTATGTGTAATTTTCTGAAGGTGTACCGGCTTCACTGCATTCATGAAGTTGCCATAAAGAACGGTCTAATCACTCTATGAATTAGTATTATGCCCGCAAACTCAAAACCCGCAAACTCGCAACCCGCATGCGAGGTCCAGTGTGGGGCGGCCTTTAGAACCCAGGAACCGCATAAGCGGCCAACAGCTTACTTCATGGATGTGACTTTGGCCCATATGTATTTTGGTAAACTCAAGCATGCACCATAAAATAAGATCAATAATATTTTTCTGTTTGAATGAAATTTGAAGTTAAATTTTCGACCTTGCGCGACAAAAATTAAACTTATTGACGGAAGCATTCAATGAAAGCATCTTTTTATTTACTTAGGATCAACGGCCGGTGGGTGGCCCGAACCTCTCGGCTAGGACGCTAAAATGTGCATATCGTCT